GTTGCATGGCTTTACAAAACATACAATGGAAAATGTACTATACAAACCTTGGGAACTCTTTCTTATATAGCTTGGAATTGTTTTTTAAATACCATGGCAAATGTGTTGTACATACCATGACTTTTTTATTGAACTTACCATGGATTTTTTTTAAATATACCATGAAAAATTTATTGACACCTACCGACATGCCATGGCAAACTTTTGAGATGTCTTTAAACAAATTAACTATATACTTTTGTGTTTGATGTCATTGATGCTTTTTTCTGGTTTGGCAAGTTGACATATGGACTAGATGGCAATGAAGTTTACCTTACCATGGCAAAAATTGACAAGTCCAGAGATGGAAACACCCCAACCCCCAGCCACCCCCCATTATGTTGTACCATTTTCCTTGACAAATTACCAGAAAAATTGATTTTTGACACGGCAATTTCATGAAAACTTTGCCCTATTATAAGTCACATGGCAAATTCATAAAAACAAAATTCCAAGCAAGGCAAATTTATAATTTTCATAGTGTCCACATGGCAATTTTATGAATTTTCCAACTTGTCACTTGGCAAATTCATAACATTCTTGTTTTCCAAACATCAAAAATTTGTAAATTTTCATAGTCTCCACATGGCAATTTTATGAATTTTCCAACTTGTTACAAGGAAAATTAATAACATTATTATTTTCCAAACATGTCAAATTTGTAATTTTTCATAATGTCCACATGGCAATTTTATGAATTTTCCAACTTGTCACATGGCAAATTCATAACATTCTTGTATTCCAAACATGGAAAATTTATAAATTTCATAATGTCCACAAGGTAATTTTATGGATTTTCCAACTTGTCACATGGCAAATTCATAACATTTGTTTTCCAAACATGACAAATTTACATAATGTCCGCATGGAAATTTTATGAATTTTTCAACTTGGCACATGCCAAGTTTATATATTCATGGCAAATTTACACATTTTTCGCATGTTCACATGTGAGATTTTTATAGTTTTTGGTTTTTAAGGTAGCCTCTAGCATCATGTTTGTATTAGGCACATGGTAAATTTAAATTTTCTTTCTATTTTCCACTCATGATGGCATTCTCAGGAGAGAAAAAAAATCATGTCTTAGATGGCAAATTTCATTTATTTATTCTCTATCACCTGTGTGTCAAATTAAAATTTCCATTTTGTATGGTTAGATTTGTGTCTTTAGATACCAAACTTAGTCTTTCATGGATGGCAATTTTATTTTGTACTACCCACAAGACAGTATTTTTAACAATGTTTTGTAATATTTTCACATGCAACTTTTAGATAATTTAAAGTTTCGGGATATACATGTGAAATTTAGGAAAACAATCACTAAATCATGCCAAACTGTAAAAAAAGTTTCTCTCTTCATATGACACAAGGAATCAGTTATTAGCTTCGTGGCAAATCTAGATAGTGCACCATGAAAAACTCTATTTAAGTTTATGTTTTTTGTCGACGTATTTAACAAGCATGTGAATCAAATGATTTTAGACCTATTAGTCTAGTGCATAGTCTAGCTAAAATTTTCTCCAAAGGTCAAGCATGAAGGCTTGCTCCTTTTCTGTCCCGCATCATTGGAGATAACCAGGGGGTGTTTCTTATGGGGAGATCTTTTCATTATAACTTCAAAATGGTAAGAGATTCGGCTAAAATCCTCAAGGAAAAGAAGTGCAACAATGTTTTACTTAAATTGGATACCGCTAAGGCCATTGATTCTGTGGCCTGGCAATTTCTTATGTAGGTATTACAGAAAAGAGGTTTGGTCGTAAATGGAGGGCTTGGATTGCCATGTTGCTTGGCACGGCTTCAACACATATTCCCCTAAATGGGGTCCCTGGTCCCAAAATTTGGCATGGTTGTGGTCTTAGACAAGGGGACGCCCTCTCCCCTATGCTTTTCATTTTAGTGATGGATGCCATGAGTGCTCTCTTTGACAAAGCCAAGAGTTTTGGTCTACTCGAGCCCTTCCATGGCAGTCAGGCAATTCCACAACGACTCTTGATGTATGCAGAAGGGGGCTAGTTGATGCCACAACGGTGCATCTGAGACATCAAAAGGAAGATATCCATTGAGTGTTTCATCCAAGTGTTGCTAATGTGGGAGGATCCCAAAGGTTTAAATAAATCCAGAAGGTCATGATACCTGGACTTGGCGATGGGAGTCGAGGGGCAAGTTCACTGTTAAATATGCATTTAAGGCGATCTTTGCGGTAGAACTGGAGTGGGCTCCTCTCAAATGCAAATTCTTCATTTGTCTAGCCATGCGAGCAAAAATTTGGACTGCCGATCATCTAAGTAGAAGCGGGCTCCCCCATAGCTAATTCTGCAGTTTTTGCTCTTCCTGGTCAGGAAAATGTGCAACACTTGTTCATTAGATGCGCAGTTCTGAGCATCATATGGAGTTCGACTCTTCTATGGGCAAACCTACAGGAGGTACTATGGATGGGTGCTGGCCTAGTGCAAGATCAAGGCTACCAGGGGATAACAGATAAGCGCTCAACACTCTTGTGATTTTGGTAGTCTGGTCCATATGGTAAGTGAGGAACAAGGGGTTTTTGATGGGATTTTCGCACCCATCCAGCGTATCATAGACTAGATTAAGATGGATGCTCGCTTTTGGATCGTAGCAAGTTATGGTAGGCTTAGCACCCCATATGCAGCAGAGTAGGCTCTTAGGCTACTAGTTGCCGTTGGCCTGGGCATTTTTTTTCCAAATTGTCGTCGTTTGTACCTTGTGTTATTTCTCTCATATCTATCTATAACTAACTAATAATAAATGGAGGTCTATTTCTCTGATTTTTTTGGTCCGTTCACCGCTTAAAAGAAAAGAAATCTATCCGAGGTTTTTTTTGAGCAAAATCTATCCGAGGTTTTTTTTTTGAGCAAAATCTATCCGAGGTGGTACTAATTTTTTGTCCTATAAAAGGAAAAACGGTTTGTCTAGAATTTCGTATGTGGGACGCGCACGTTGTGGCCCAGTGAGGCCAGCCCACTTATTTTCCTGCCACGCAGTTAAGAAAATCCTCTTTACCACACAATGCAGCAAATAGTCAGCGCTTCGCACGAGCGCCCAAGACTGGGCCGCCCGTTTTACTTTTTAGTGTTGTATTTCTATTTTGGTTTTCTATCTTTTTTCTCTTTATCCTTTTTTAAGATTCAATATTAAAAAAAATCAGAATTTTGATTTTCTTTCAATTCTCTGGAAAATATTCTGAATTCAAAAAAACATTCCCATTAAAAAATATTCGGAACTTTAAAACTTATCTCGTTCCAAAATTTACTCAAAAGTCAAACAATGTTCCTAATTAAAAAAAATGTTTTTGTTTTCCAAAATTCGAAAAATATTCCTTTTTTGGCGAAATTTTCAAAAAATCAAAATAATGTTTGTCTGTAAGAAAACACATTTTCTAAAATTGTTTTGAACATTCAAAACATGTTATTGTTTTCAATAATTATTCACAAATTCAACAAGTGTTCGTGTTTCCTAAAAGTTTCATGTTTTTTTAATTGTTAATTTCAGAAAATGTTCAAACTTTGTTCATGGATTTCCAAAAATGGACGGAATTTTCAAAAAACTGTTCATTTTTAAAAAACGTCTAGGATTCAAAATTGTTCAGGTTCCAAGAATATTCAGCAATTATTAATTATTAATGTTTTTTCATAATTGTAAAAAAAATCGATCAAAAAATGTTTCGAAACTAGTCATGGGTCAGCAGGACGTGTTTGTTTGAGTGGCTAGCATCATGTGGTTGGGTCTTTTAAGTCGTGAGTTCGATTCTTCAATGCGTCTTTTTTTGGATTTTTACTCATGCATTAGAAAGAAGGGTCGTTAGGGTGCCACGAACTCTTGTGTGTTCCACATGCTATTTTATGCAACTAGAGTCATATAGTAGCTCCCACACAGCTAGACCAAAAATAAGAACCAAACTTACAACGTCCCATCTAGTTCCTCCAGCAGATGCCAATTGAGCTAGCTCAGTTTTGTTACATAAAAACGATTGGTCCTCATATTAAAATATATTTGGATTTTGTTTGGTCCGTTCCGCACATGCTTCCCTTTTTTTTTCGTCTGTCCCCCCGGTGGGCCGAATTGGGCCTATAATGCATTTCTTTTTCTGTCGGACGGACGAGCAGCAAAAAATTTAGGCCTCAAGGGGATTAAACTGCAATTAGTAATCCATTCGGTTACACCCTCTTATGAGAGAGCGGTTGAAACAACCATGCCCCGAAGGTCGACGGGCAGCCACAAAATGAGGAGGCAGCCACACCTCGAGACGGATGCGTACCAGGAGGAAAAAAGGCATAAGTTGATTGGTCACCGCCATGCCGAGAAACCCCACCACTATCAAGATCCCATGGGCCAGACATGACCCGGGAGAAGACTGCAACTCCTCGTTGCGGAGATTGTTTTTGGTGGACACATTAATTATCTCCCCTGTTGCTTCTCAAAAAGAAAATTATCTCTCGTTGCCACACACAGGCATATGTGCTAGTTAATATATATACAAGCAGCACTCCTACATGGTTCGAAAAAAAGCTTCTACTTTTTATTATGTCATGATAATTTTCATGCTCACACGATGGCAAATTTTATTTTGACACCCGACATCCTTTTTCTTCTTCTTCTTTTTTGAGGCAACTCGGTAGGCCTAGCATTGGGCCTGCCGGGCCATTGGGGTTGGGGTCGCAGTGGTGTTTTTTTAAAACGCCAATCCGGGCAATGAATCGTTCGCGATGGGAGCTAGCTCCCGGCCGGGAGATGTATGTGGGAATTAGAAAAAGCTTTGATCCCAAGCAGGCGAGCAGTAGCTGTCGCCGAAACCATGGCGGGCATCGTGACGCGCATTTCCCGGCCGCGTGGTGAACTTACTTAAAGCGGCAGACTGGGCCATGGATAGGGGCAGTTGATCCACTCGATTCCCCTCACGCTCACCAGAAGTGGAGGAGAAGAGAAGCTTGCCAGTGAGGGAGATGAGCAGGGTGTGCGTCACCGGAGCCGCCGGCTATATAGCCGCCTGGCTCGTCGGGAAGCTGCTGCAGCGAGGCTGCATCGTCCACGCCACCTTGAGATCCCTCCGTGAGTGCACCTAACTTGTAGTACCTAAGCTTGTACTCGATCTCCAGGCTCCAGCTCCTCGTAGCTGCTAACCACATGAACCATGCATCATTTGGTGATCGTGCGTGCGTGTGTGACAGTGGATGAGGAGAAGACGGCGGTGCTGACGGTGCTGCCTGGCGCGGCGGAGCGGCTGACGCTGTTCGAGGCGGACATTTACAACGCCACCACCTTCGAGCCGGCGATCCAGGGCCGCGAGTTCGTCTTCCTCGTCGCCACCCCGCTGATGCACGACAACAGTAGCACCAAGGTACAGCTCAATCTGCGTGTCGGTGTCCGGCGATATTTTTTTGAGCTTTGAATTGAATATTTCTTGACTACTCACTCTTACCACTCCGTGCCCCACATGGATGTATAGTTTTTTCATAGAATAATGGATAGGCGATAATTAAGCTACTTACTCCAACTATATATGAAGTTGATGCCGGGATAGATAATTTAACTTCGGAGTACTTATTTATAGGTGAACCAACCAGTAGTTGGATGAACCAAATCTTATGCTCCATCCGTTCACAAATATAATATGTTCTAGTTTTTTTGTGATTTGGATGTAATATGTATATTTTAGTGTGTTTGTTCACTCATTTTCATTTGATGTATATAGTTCACACTGAAATATCCAAAACATCTGACACTTTAAACATAACAAATCAAACATTTTTCATGACAAACTATGTTGTCATGAGTCAGCCTGGACGTACCGAGCGGTCCAAAAAGCCCGCTCGTGGACCGACCCGCACCGGACCGAAATTGGAGGCCCGATCAAAAATAACAGTCGGTCCGGTCTGGAAAAAGAGGCCCGAAAGAGGTTCGGTCCGGTCCTGTTTTGGCCCGGTCCGCTTGGTCGGACCAAAAGATTTTTTTTGCATTATCTGAATATAGTTGGGACGAGAGGCCCAGCCCATTTGGCGTTCCTGGTATGACCTAATCCATCCCACGCACACACACCTCACTCAAACGCTCACCTGACGTGGCCGTCCTCCTCCACCACGCAACAGCCGCCGCGACGGCATGGCCGGCGGCAGCAGGCCACGGGCAGCACAGCCAGCAACGGCCACGTGCATGTGCACAGCCAGCAGCAGCAGGTCATGGCCGGCAGCCCCAGGCGACGTTTCGCTTAAAAAAAAATGCACGTACACACACACACCTGCGCCGCCGCCGCCGTTCAGCGCACAGCCTCTTGCCGTCGCGGCCACCGGCCTCCCTGCGACTTACCACCATGTCCAGGGGCTCCGCAACCATGAGATCTCCTCTCCCACGCAATGAATCGGCCGGATTCGCACGGAAGCCGTCGCCATCGTCCTCCTTCCCCAACTCCTGCCGCCGTCGATGCTTCCTCAGCCTCCCCGACCCCTCCATGGAGTTCACCGTGAGCCACCCTCCCTTTCCTTTCTGTTCTTCCTCCGATTAGTGCCTAGAGTCGTCTCTGGCCGCCGCGACTGCCCACATGGTCGGTCCTTCGGTCTGGCCCGAGCTTTTCCGCCACCGGTCCGATGCCAGAAAAGGGGACCGCCGCGCTGCTCGGTCCGGTCCGGTTCGGTCCGCCGGTGGCCGGTCTCCGAACCGGCCCGGACCACCGTCCACCCTGAGTCATGAGGATCGCAATTTCTTTTGGCAAGCGTGGTAAATTCTTGCTCAAAAATCCAACGTTCGATTTGTAACAAAATCCTTAGTCTTTTGGTGTGAGGTTTATAACGTACTGACCAGATCACCAATGGTAGCTAATGATCGGTTAACAAATATGCATGCATGTACTCAAAAGTATAAGAGCGTGACCGAGGCGATCGTGGACGCGCACCGCCTCATCCTGCAGCAATGCGAGCGGTCCAAGACCGTGCGGCGCATCATCCACACCGCTCCAGGAGAACGGTCATGGGTTCAAGGACTTGATGAACGAGTCATGCTGGTCTCCGCTCAACATCCCCTACAAGTATAGCAATGCCCACCTCGACGTACGTAAATCATACTCCCTCCGTTCCTAAATATAACGCATTTTGGCAGTTTGAGTTGTCAAAACGTCTTATATGTAGAAACAGAGGGATTACATCTCGATACATATCAACCCACTGTATATTTCCGACAAATCACCCATCACCGCTATCGGTGATGAATCCAGGCATACGTGGCATCCAAGAGCCTGTCGGAGCAGGAGCTGCTGAGGCACAACGAATCGGAGGGCGGCAGGGCATTTGAGGTGGTGACATTGGCGTGTGGGCTCGTCGGCGGTGACACGCTCCACCCTGTCTTGTCGAGCAGGATGAGCAGTGTCACGATGGTTGTGGCGGCCCTCACGGGCAACGAGATCCACCACAACGCCCTCTGCTTCATGCAGGCGCTTCTGGGGTCCGTGCCGCTGGTGCACATCGACGACGCCTGCGCGGTGCACCTCTTCTGCATGGACCAGCCATCCATGGCTGGCCGGTTCCTCTGCGCCGCCGGCTACCCCACCATGCAGGATTACGTCGCCCGCTTCGCAGCCAAGTACCCGGAGCACAAGATAATTCTCAAGGAGTACGCAGTCCTTATTCACTCCTTGTATTGATTGCATGGTTGATCAGTTTGTGTTTGTTTTCTAATTATGTGGTGATGATTGCTGTAGGTTGGCAGGAGAGGGGGTGAGGGTGCCGGGTGATTCGAGCAAGCTTGTGGAGCTGGGGTTTAGGTTCAAGTATAGTGTGGAGGAGACGCTGGACTGCAGCGTTGAATGCGCCAAGAGAATGGGAGAGCTCTGATGGTGATAAACAAGTTCATTTGGTTGACCATGCATTCCAAGCAAGAACCCCGGAGAAACTTTGGATTTGAATGCGGCAGCCCACATATTCTCCATCGTCGGCTCAACTCTTGGATCTTATGTTGAAAAGTTAGAATTTAAACATGGGTCTTAAAATAAAGTAATGTATACGTATTGATTTGTGAAACTGGAGCAGCCGCTCTGACCTACTCCCTCCGTTCGGAATTAGTTGTCGCAGAAATGAATGTATCTAGATGTATTTTACTTCTAAATACATCCATTTCTGAGACAAGTAATTCGGAACGGAGGGAGTAGTACATATTTTGGCAAGATGCACGTTTTGTTTTCAAGTTGCCTTTTGACTGGCACGTTTACTGGCTTTTGTGTGGTTCCTCCAGTTTTTAGTTTTTTTGAGGAATTCCTCCAGTTTTTAGCGAGATAGGATAGGAGGAGAGAGCCTTTCTCTCACCTACCGCGACAGTGCGACACACAGGGAGCGCTCGCCGGAGCTGTATATCACCCGATGCGAATCCTAATTAGGTCTCGCCTTTGGTGGGAGGCAGTTGGGCCGGCCCAATACGGGGTCCTAGAGGAGCAGACTTTTCAGGGAAGTTTTGAATGTTTTCGTCATTTTTCCTATTTGTTTCTTTTATGGTTTTGACTGATTTTCATTTGGTTTTTTCATGTCCTTTTTGTGGTGCCTTCTATGTTTCTTTCAACAGTCTTATGTCATTTTCATTGGTTTTTCTGTTTTCTTTCATTTCAACAAATGTCTACTTCTGTCAATATTGTACATTTTTGTATACACGTGGGATATTTTTGGATACATCTACATTTTGTTGAAATACATGTGTTTCAACATTTATTTGATACACATTTTTTTTTGCCACATACATGTGTTTGAACAAATGTCTACCTCTTAATTAGACCAACAAGTCCCTGCCACTGGGGTGTACAAGTGAGCAAGTCAGCAATCGTAGGGGCTGTTTTGGCTTTGCCAGATGTAAGAGCGTCTACAACTTTGTAAGTACGTGCTGGCTTCTAAAGCGTGTGCAGGTGGTGTACCCTTTGGCTACGACCCGTTATGATATGTTTCTCTGTCTCTTACATGATGCATGCTTTGTAATCAATATAAATCGTGTGAGGAGACAAAAAAAACAGTAAAACCCCACCTAGTCGCTACCGCTTGGGTGTACAAGTGAGCAAGTCAGGAATTGTAGGTGTTGTTTGGTTTTTGCCAGAGCGTACACAGGTACCTTCATTTTCACCATAAGCAACCACTTGATACATTACCTAGGAGATGGAGGAGGTGTCATGTTGTGTTGTTGTAGAGAACATTGAAATGATCTGTATGAAGTCTCGGCAATTGAAACAGTCATGTTCTTGTCTGGAATAATGACTCCAAGCCTCACTTCATATGACCTAGGTGTTGCCTGAGATGCGTCTTCCATATAATCCAAATCAAGATCTTGGATATAATCAACATTCATGGCGACTTTTAGTGTTGCATTAGATGGGGTAAGTGAGCCAGAGGAGGAATTCCAATATCAAGTACCCATCACTGGTGATATCTTCAAATATGATTCGTGTGTTTTCTTCATTGTGATGTCATTTATTCTTGAACTTGACATAACCTTTAATGTCTAATAATACAATAAAGAAGACACTATTAGGTTATAAAGTGTAACGGCTACATTATGATATCGCAAGAATAAGCATGAGAACTCAAAATGCTGGCCTTTTCCACCACTCATCATCTTGTGACATGGTGTTTTTCTTGAAGTCGCATCCCACACCGGTCTCCCACAACTAGAGTTAATTGAATATGTTGTAATCACATTTTAGCTTGTCCCATTTGTTTCCGAGTTGGATACTCCTTCGTACCTCCTCAAATGCATTGTTAATCAAATAAATGTTTGGCCTATTTCCAGCCTTCACTTGCTCCACAAATTAGTCATTGAGAATCGAAGTATATTCATTGGTCCATTCTGCCATGCTCAACACTTGCATAAGAAACACCAGGTCACTTTGGTGCTCACATGTACAAGTAAAATATGCATAGATTGGAACAAAGGTAGTTTTATGCATAGCCAAAATCATGTAATATTATGTGTCCATCTTTTATGTGTGCATATGTGCATCTACCCATGATTTGCCACAAACATATCAATACCCTTAGCATACGTCAAATTTAGAAGGTAGGACACACTGGCGACATGATCCGGCCATTATCGACCATTCTTTTACCAAGAGAACTCCACAAAATGCAAAACTTGTCGAAAACCGAAGCAACTTGGAATGATGCCTTGAATTGGTCATATGAGGCTATGAAATAAGATTGGGGCCATTTTAAGGATGTCGAGAAACAACTACTCTCAGACGGAGCCTTCTGGCCTACATGAACACTCCCTGTTGAACATGGTCTATATTTGGATATCCTTCAAATGACCCCAACTTTTGCAAACTACTGGGCATACCTATAGTAGGCATTCATGTCGGTTTTGAATGATTTCAGATATCGTATGCAGGTTGTGACATGTACGACCATTTATCGGCCTTTTTTGACCCAGAAAACTCCAGAAAATGCAAAACTTATGAAAAACTCAAACAACTTGGCATGGTGCCTTGTCTTGGTCATAGCCATCTATTTTTTTGACTAGTTCAAGTAGTTTGAGAAACAACATGCTCTCAGATAGAGCCTTCTTGCCTATCCAAACCCCTTCCGTTGAATATGGTCTATATTTAGACATCCTTCAAATTATCCCAACTTTTGCAAGCAGGTGGACATGCCCATGGTAGGCATCCATATATGGTTTGAACAATTTTCGACACAATATGCAAGTTATGACCCTCCGGGCTATTGGGGAACGCAGTAATTTTAAAAAAAATCCTATGCACACGCAAGATCTATCTAGGTGATTGATACGTCTCCAACGTATCTACTTTTCCAAACACTTTTTCCCTTGTTTTGGACTCTAACTTGCATGATTTGAATGGAACTAACCCGGACTGACACTGTTTTCAGCGGAATTACCATGGTGTTATTTATGTTCAGGAGCAAACGTTCTCGGAATGACCTGAAACTTCACGGAGCCACTTTTCAGAAAATAAGAAAAATACTTGCCAAAGATGAAGGCCAGGGGGGCCACCACCTTGCCACGAGGGTGGGGGCGCGCCTGCCCCCCTAGGGCGCGCCCCCCTACCTCGTGGGCCCCCTGTCGCCTCTCCGACTCCAACTCCACCTTCATATATTGAGTTTCGGGGAGAAAAAATTCAAGGAGAAGAAATCATCGCGTTTTACGATACGGAGCCGCCGCCAAGCCCTAAAACCTCTCAGGAGGGCTGATCTGGAGTCCGTTCGGGGCTCCGGAGAGGGGAATCCGTCGCCATCATCATCATCAACCATCATCCATCACCAATTTCATGATGCTCACCGCCGTGCGTGAGTAATTCCATTGTAGGCTTGTTGGACGGTGATGGGTTGGATGGGATCTATCATGTAATTGAGTTAGTTTTGTTAGGGTTTGATCCCTAGTGTCCACTATGTTTTGAGATTGATGTTGCTATGACTTTGCTATGCTTAATGCTTGTCATTAGGGTCCGAGTGCCATGATTTCAGATCTGAACCTATTATGTTTTCATCAATATATGAGTGTTCTTGATCCTATCTTGCAAGTCTATAGTCACCTATTATGTGTTATGATCCGTTAACCCCGAAGTGACAATAATCGGGATACTTACCAGTGATGACCGTAGTTTGAGGAGTTCATGTATTCACTATGTGTTAATGCTTTGTTCCGGTTTTCTATTAAAAGGAGGCCTTAATATCCCTTAGTTTCCGTAAGGATCCCGCTGCCACGGGAGGGTAGGACAAAAGATGTCATGCAAGTTCTTTTTCATAAGCACGTATGACTATGTTCGGAATACATGCCTACATTATATCAATGAACTGGAGTTAGTTCTGTGTCACCCTAGGTTATGACTTTTACATGATGAACCGCATCCGGCATAATTCTCCATCACTGATCCATTGCCTACGAGCTTTTCATATATTGTTCTTTGCTTATTTACTTTTTCGTTGCTATTGCTATCATCACTACACAATACCAAAAACATTACTTTTACTACTGTTACCTTTTGTTACTGTTATCACTACTATCATATTACTTTGCTACTAAACACTTTGCTGCATATATTAAGTTTCCAGGTGTGGTTGAATTGACAACTCAGCTGCTAATACTTGAGAATATTCTTTGGCTCCCCTTGTGTCGAATCAATAAATTTGGGTTGAATACTCTACCCTCGAAAATGGTTGCGATCCCCTATACTTGTGGGTTATCAAGACTATTTTCTGGCGCCGTTGCCGGGGAGCATATCTCTATTCTTTGAGTCACTTGGGATATATATCTGCTTATCATTATGAAGAACTTAAGAGATCCAAAAACCAAGATCTATCCCTCAACTACGAGGGGAGGTAAGGAACTGCCATCTAGCTTTGCACTTGATTCACCTTCTGTTTTGAGTAAGCTTGCGACACCTACACCTGCTTTTGCTATTCGTTCTGATATGTCGCATGTTATTGACGATTCCACTTCTGCTATGCATGATACTTATGATGAAACTACCTCTATGCCTGATACTACTATGCCACTTAGTGCTTTTCTTGATGAACAACTTGCTAGGGCTAGAGAAATTGAAAATATTGAATCTGATGATACTGATGAAAGTGATGATGAAGAACCACTTGCCATTCCTACGGGTTATGTTTTTGATCAAGATGCTTCTTTAGCTATTTTAGCTTGCAGAAACAGAACTGAACTTAAAAGATTATTAGCTAAATGGAGTAAGCAATCTCTAAATGCTAGAATGAAACCTGACCCTGCTTTTGCTACTTCACCTATCTTTGTTACTGATAAGGATTATGAATTCTCTGTTGATCCTGATATAATTACTTTGGTTGAATCTGAACCTTTTCATGGTTATGAATCTGAAACTGTTGTG